TCGTAAGAGTCACTTGTGTACTAATCAACCAGGATTATCACGTGAATGAATCAGTGAATCTTGTTATAGGAATTGATGTATGCAATCAATTGGAATACCTGTAGATCGAGTTGCTTGGCGAAGTTTTGGTTACTTTTCATAGATGGGCAATTTTTCTGAATTTTGTCTCGCAAAGTACCAGAAACACAAGGTTTACACTAGCTGCATATCCCCAAAGTAAATTCCCGTGATATATTTCTTTATTTAGCATCCCGAAGTTTAATACCAAAACTGATTTTATCGCAGTCTCGAAAAGCAACATTATACATATTTTCGATGGTCATAGTTGCACTACTAAAGTTAGCAAATAACGAAACTATGCTAAATCTAATTATTATGTCACTCGAAATTTACATAAATAGTTACTTCTATCTATAAACATACACTATGCACAAGCTGTTGGCAGGAAACGGTTAGGGCGGAATAGTTTGTAGGATCATAATCAAAAGTTAGCGAACAAGTTCGCTTTCAGCGGTTCTTCAACATGCTAACACACCAATGAATGACACGAATGTAAACAGCAGATAAGAGTGCTGGTTCAAAACCTAGATGCTCTGAGTGACCAAGCCAGATGATTGATTCCCCGGTGATCAAGAGCGTGTTTGTGTATATGTGTCTGTGTGTAGCGTTGTCCACACGGTGTCAGTGTTATGGAGGACCAGGGGAGAGTGCCTGGACAAATTTCTTATACGCACATAGGTCAGGGTCATAAAGTCTAATGGCGATTGCCTAGGGCGCTGCCAGTAGACATCCAACTGCGCGTGTGTCGCACCTGGGTATGCGGTAAATAAGCTTTCTAGCCTCATGCGCTTTGACCTCCTTGTTCAAATCGACAAGGTGTGCAGCTAATGCGCTTGCCAATGATCTGGGCACGCCGCCATATAGCCAATCTGGTCAGTGCTTGCTGGCTCCCACGAACAGTCTCCTGATGGTTCATCCGCTATATTTTGCTCGATAAGAGCAAGAGAATGAGTAGGCATAAAAAGTACCTAATTCTAGAATTCTGTCCATAAACTGTTGATTTGAGTGTCGGTGCTAAGCGGAAGGGTAGCTGTAAGCGTGCTGCGCCGTGGGTTTGAGCGATGACCTCATACGGTCTTCTAGAAGTCGATTCAGCTTACCCGTCGACCTTGAACAGTCACGTAAGTAGACCGTTTTCTTTTCTCCTGGAATTGCTTTTGCCTTTACTTCTCGAGGCTCCATATTTCTCCGGGTGAACTTCTCCAGACGGCCATTTCTATCGATTAGGCTTCCTATGATGTTTTAGTCGTCCGGTAATGTGTCCTTGCTAAATATTCTCCTTGCTCGCTCGGTTAGGCACTGAACAAGTTTTCCTTTCTGGCTGAGTGGAACGAAGCTGGCAAAATGAGTACATGGTCCGTTCCATGTCTTTTTATGGGTACCACTGGATAGACCCGTGAGATTCTCTCTTCTCATCTGAAAGTCTAGATACGACAATGAGTCTCTGCGTTCAGATTGTAGGGGGAATGTCATGTTGGTGTGTATTGAGTTAGATGGTGTTACTAATTCTTCCATACAGTAGTGACTATATTAGATTCAAAATATATCGTCCACGTACCATCCGTGGTAGAATATGTCATTGATCATTCTGTTCAACTAGTTGTTCTCCAAATTACTAATAAACATGTCTGCTAACAAAGGTCCTGACAGAAAGCCTATTGCGATTCAGTCCTTCTGTCTATGTAATCCAGTAATGAACAATTAAAAATTTTCTTCTCGGTAACACGAAGAACGCCTTTACAAGTAGGATCATGTTAGGATAGCAAAGCGTGGTGGAAGAGGTACAAAATAACATGTTCGTCTTTACAGTGAGTGTATGTACGTGAGATGTATATACGTACGCGTGTGCTGAGGCTGACGTTGCATCCTTGATGCTTCCCCACTGCAGTTGCACTAGACAAACTTAAACTAGGTGCTTTTAGCTGGATAAATTTCATTCCACTTTAATTGGTTTGTTCTGCCTACCTGAATAACCTTCTATTTACTTGCACACATTGCTTATGTCAATTGCCCTTACCTTCGTTAATTCTTTTGCTTTTGTAGCATTTGTTAAGTAACTTCTGGTCATGTTGTACTTCTCGCGGATTCGTTGCTAACCAACGTACTTCATATGCTAATTCGGCGAAGAGTTATGTCTGCATAGCCGTGTTCTTTAACATATACGTTTTATTTGATAATGTTATTTCAAGTGATTGGCTGTTACTTGGTATCCCCGGTGTGGCTGCGTTTGATGTGCATGTTGACAAGGTGTCTACGTGTCTATTACCCACTACCTCCTCCATACTGGCTCTAGGAGACAGTTGGTCGTTCTTGGAGGGGACCGGGTGCACCGTCCTTTTGGTCTTGCTAGGCTCGAAGAGTGGTTCCATGCATTCAGTGTGGAGCGGACTTCGGTCCAGCCACCGCCTTGTGTGCGCTTGATTCCCCAAATACAGCGTGCTTGTGTTTGCCTGTGAAGGAGTGTGGGCCGGCTCCGTTGATGAAACGCGGCTCCCATCCACATGCCTCCCGGTCTTATTCCTTCGGGTTTATGGGGTGTGTGGTTGGAGCTGTGGGTGGTGCAGCGCAAGCCATCCATGGTCCATGTGTAGGCGCAGTCGTCCTGTGACTCTCCCCAGTGACAGGCAAATCCGGAACTGTATGCCACCAACAGTGTGTCTCATGCTGGGGTTGATGTTGCATTCATGACGCTTCTTCAAGACATTTGGGCTAAACGAATTTACACGTAAACTCGAGCTTTTTAATCTGGAAAAACTTATTCCACTTTAATTGTTTTGTTCAACTGTTATTCTGCTGCATATTCTGTGTCAATTTTGCGTGTATGTTTTCGCTTAAATTCGATGTTATTTGCTTGATATCCCCAGTGTGGCTGCGTTTGATGTGTTTGTTAAGAAGGTGCCTACCTGTCTAACGTCATCCACCTCGATTACCGGATCCAGGAGACTGAATTGTTGCTGACAGAGGGGGGAGGGGTGCACGGCCCTCGTGGCGGTGCCAGACTCAAAGAGTGGTTCCATCCAGTGTAGAGCGGACTACGGCGAAGCCACCGCCTTGTGTACCTCTAGTGCGCGTGATTTTCTACATAGATAGACAGGAATATAGCTGCTCTGCATGTTGAATGAGTGTGGGCCGGCTCCATGGATGAAACGTGGCTCCCATCCACATGTCTCCCGGTTTTATTCCTTCCGGTTTACACTGTATGTGGATGTGTGGGTGTTGTGGGTGGTGCAGCGCAAGCCACCCATGGTCCCTCTGTAGGCGCAGGTGTTCCGTGGTTGCCCTTTGGTGGTCACACTGACAGGCAAATCCGGAACCGGATGCCACCAACCATTGTGTATGTGTGCAGTTGTGTAGTTTGTGTCTATAAATGTGCCACCGTAATCTCGACTGTTTGATAGCGTCGGCAATATGAGAGTAAACGATTGTGGTCCGTGCATGGAATAGGATTATCCGGACATGCACGGCGCAGTGACTTTAGTTTGTGACGAGTCACAAACGCCACGTCGGATTACTGATATACAGACATTTGGCATTTTACAGGGAAAATTCTTGCCAGGCGAAAATTCACAACGTCGCGGAACATTGTGGTCGAAGTATTTGCTGGAACGGGTTAAACCCGAACTACCCAACTGGTGTCACAAGGAGGATGTTAAGCTAGCCAGCCTGAGGTTGCAAGTTGCGAGCATCGGAAGGAAACGAATAATCGTAAGAGTAATGTTAATAGCCGACATGTGGAAGTGGGACCTTGAGACATTAAGGGCGCTCAAATGAAGCGAATGAATAATGCTACCTGTTTTGTAAATTCAGCGGTACAACGAGCGAAAGGCATGTTATTAGTTCGAAAACGTAGAGCTAGATGCGAATAAGAGCACTGGGTCATCAAGTGAGAACAATTCATCCAGTGCAGGAAATCAAGTTCATTTGGTGGTTACAGCGCTCGTTCTGAACAATGGTGTACTACGTCAAGGAATCCAGCATGACACGTTTAAAAGTAAGGTGAGGGGAACTGAATCTAACATTTGTTGGAGTTAGGTGGTACAGTAATAGTCACTCTAGGTTATAAATATATCTGCTTTAAAATGACGGAATGGTATGCAATTGTGGCAACAGCTCCCAGCACTTTGGGAAACCCATTTCTCTATCCATTATCCACATTCGGCCACCGATTATAGCAGCCACATGATCAATCACAGCTTGCGTCAAATCAGTGCTTTGAAGAATCATCCAACTTGAAAAGCAATCGAAACGGGCTCCACTCAGACATGTTTGGTCACGTATCTTTAAAACATGATATTAAGTGAAGTTAAGTAGTTTTATCAAAATTTATGGCTGGAAAACCTGGGTGGACAGTGGCCAAACAAGCTTTGGGACTCAATTCTCCCGATTGGCTTCCAGAACTTGTCCAACTACACCAGGGAAAAGGAAAAATTCGAGATATCCTCCAAGCTTAGATAATTCATGCAATAACGCATAGGACTAACTGGTCTGCGAGTTCAACCGATTACTTGATAGTATAGCAACTTTGAATATACTATGGAACAGAATAGCTAAAAGTTCCCACTTGACATGCTCGCTTACTCTCAGGGAAGGTATGGTTTAGTGCAAGTATGAGAAGAGCCATCTTAAACGTACAATAGTATTGTGCTCCGTTCTCCGTTTTCACCATTCGGTAACTCGAATTGCACGGTATAAGAAAATTAGGGAAATCACGTAATAACTGAGCCTTTGGTTGATAGTCCCGTACAGGAACATAGACTATAATGGAGTAGCCATTAGGTAGGACGAAATGAAATGCAACGATCGTAATCTAAGCCACAATCTTTTGCACTGTATTCATTGTGATACATCCTATATAATAGCTTTTATTTTGTTGGGACGCTGTTAGTGTTGGTGGACTCAAACAGAATTAACTTGCTTGACAAATTTTCAACTCTTGCTAGGTGCACCCTGGGTCAGAGTTCGGTCCACCCGTTTTGTCCTCAAATGTCATCCACCACGGCGGACAAAGAGAGTGCTGATCTCGACACCGGAACGCTTCCTACTCAAACAAAGATTAAAGAAGGACAATTATCAAGTGAACTTCCCTTTCACTTTGGTAGCAACGGGATCAGTGTAACTTCCGGGAATAATACCCATGTATATCCGCATTCGCAGAACAGTGTACACCGTTCCTTTGATGCCTCTCAGCAGAGTGAACTGACGGGAACGAAGGACATTTCCAACTGGCCATATCACCAAGATTATCGACTCCAAGGAACAGCTGTGTTTCAGTTTGAAAATGGCTCAGTTCTAACATTTGAACAACTCAGTCTCGCTGGTTTTGCCGACTGGGCCAAACATGTATGGGAGAGCGGAATTCAACTACGAGAACTGGTCAAAAACGATTGGAGCGCTATTGCTGGTTTGGCCGCTTTGATCTTGGTGAATTACAAGTCCATAAACTGTGAGTCCGAGCACCACACTGATACAACGCAGAGCAGATAAGCTTAACTTTTATGTGTATGACGCTTTTCATGCGGAATTCTGTAGATTGCTAGAAGACAGGTGGGCATATATAGTCTTTCAACAATAACCGAACGCTGGTATATAGGAACAACTAAATACAAAACTGTTAAGATAATGCTTTCACACATAGACAGAATTGAACCGTACGGAAAGAGCAAAAATAAATGTGGAAGTTGTAGGCGTTTTTAGATATGTTGACCTCAGTGATATACCTGAAAACATGAAATGGAGTACAGCAAGCGAGTTTAAAATGCCATGAGAAGGAGAGTGTCAATTGCTTCTCCAAGGTGGCCGCCGGCTAAAAACCATCCTGATTTTGCAAGGGTTGTGGGGAAACAGAGGAAATGGAACTATACGTAACAAGTAGCCGTAAGCTTCCGGCCTCTCTGAGTTCATCGACAACAGCCTCATCTTTCACTCCAACCATCTTAGCCATTTTGGTTCCACTTAGTGCTGGGACTATGCATAAACTTTTAGCAGAAATTAAACTAATATATACATAACTAAATGAAACGGGTTGGTATAGATTGTATGCTGCTGTCTTCATCGCTGTAACCCTTTGAACCTCTGAAGGAGCATATGTGATTAATAATAATGTATATTGCTGTTACGGCCAGGAAATCGAGTCCACAAATGGACGCATCGTATTTGCATTTGCAACATGCTCACATATGCAGGGTTGTCGATTGTTGTGAATTATGCGGGAATACAATAAGTATGTTTTGGAAGCTTTTTCGGGGTTTGCACTGCCGTCTCCTGACAGAACACGAGTATTCTCACATTTTTACCGGTGCAGATCGGGGATACCATGGAGGCGGCGAGAAATTTCAGAAAGCAATTGAAGCCATGATCAAAAATCAGACGTGTGGCACATACTGGTATACAATAGCCTAGAGTAGTACAAGTCAAGTTATTTGTACTTGGCGTGGTTTTACACATATGCGAACGAAGAGAGAAGACTAGAATTAATACTTCAAGGTAATTGCATAGGAATCTTCAGAGTTTCAGCTTTGTCAGCCGAGTAATGTAAGCTAGCAAGCACGTGCGGGCGAGTTAATGCAGAGTGAAGTGCCTGGGCATTCCTAGATCTAGAAATCGAATGGACCAAATCAAACAAGCGGTATTGTGTGTTACGGAGTTGGGGGAATAAGTGGGCTCAATTGCTTTCCTTTCGACCTTTGCTCTTAGGTGAAGATTTATGGCTTGCTCGGCCAGCCAACGGAAGTTTTGATGTTGAGGTGGGATGAGGATATAAATTGATAAAGAAATGAATAAATGTTTGTTCTGTGTTTTACTAGACACGCTGATCAAGGCATGATCAACAAGTTACGGTCATACACAGACGGTTAGCCGACAGTTGGCATAGATATAAGAGAAGGGAAAGTCACTGCAATAAAATCAATTATGTAGTCTAAGGAATAAATTAATGGTTTAGACCGATGAGACAATAAGAATGCATAGATGAAGTAGCCAAGAACATGAGTCCAACGGATTCAAGTCAAATAAGGAAGCCTTATACTAAAGATCAATCAAAATAATACGATCATCCCTGGAACCGACTCTTTGGGACCTACTTCCGTGCAGCATGGTCCTTCGAGACATTTCACCCACACATCCACCCCCTATCTGATCGTGTGTCAGTGTGGTTTAGAAGCTGGCTAGCCACCAACTATTTTTGCTGTTATTTGGGTTTCTTTTTTCGAAAGCTGGTCATGCAACCAGTCAGCCCGTACGTGATCCCTGGTATTTGAGCATTTGAACCTGATGACTCATTTCGCCAGAATTGGCGGCATTTGCGTGAATTCAACAGTGTGTGAATTCAACAGTGCCGAGCGTACTGTTGACTGTTCGTGCAGAACCGTTTTCATATTTACTACGGGGTTTTTGGCTCTCCGCTTTTGAGGTTAAAATTCTGCTTGGAAGCTTCAATCCGTCATCCAAGGAGAACGGCTCAGTCGTGACCAACAACGAAAAAAGTAAAAGGAAGAAAATAGCGAATTAAGATAAATAGGATGGAAAGCACAACAAAATATTTGAACAGATAGCCTAGCTACTGTGTTAAGGGAGCCGGCACCCCTTTGCTAGCAGCCCGGAACAGTTGACCCTGACGCAGCCCGAAGCTTATTGGCCAAGTAATGAGAACATGGTTAATGATGACGTTTCACTTTGAACGCTAACAATGAGGATGGTCTACCTTGAAACCTACCAGTACTATTTATTCGATCCAAGTATTTGATTATGTACACGCTTGCTGGGTGCTCAAAACAGTTTCCGCCTGAGGCCATCGTCTTCTAATCTGGAAAGTCGGCCGGTCAGATTGCGCAGTAGCAGCAGTTTATCCGTACACTCAGCGGAAAGCACATCATGATAGTGCAGGATGCCATCATATTGGTTGGTGTGATAAGCTTTTACAGAGCTTAGGAAAAACCGATTGCAACATTTGGATGGGTTAGCTTCGCCTTTTAGAACAATATGAAGGTGCAAATTGTCAGGTTTGATATTCGAGAGAATAGTGAAAACAGGGAAGAGGTCAGATGTAAGCGGTACATGGGTAGCTTTTCACCTGCAAGTTAAACCTCAAGGTTGGTATTTCCGAGTGCAACAAAAGATGTGCAAGGATGGGGTGAACTTGCATCATCTCTCATATATTGTTTAGGCCAAATGAAATTTACACATATGTAGACCATCGAAAGCCTAACCACCCCACTTTAACTTAGGGAACGGTTACATTTGCCCGTACCTTTAGTGGCAGCTTATTCCATAAATGGGCAAACCTTAGCAAGAAAACTTTGCAACGGATTTGTAGTTTACGCTTTTGTGGGAGTCATGTGCAATCCTTATTTTCTGTGGGACAGGCAGAGGGATTTTGGAAGGCGAAGACTCTTCCGGCAGAGTACAACCTTTAATATAAGGTATAATAGATATATCTAGATAATATATAATATTGTAAAAAAATAACGAGACTGATTCTGAGCCGGCGTAGCCAGTGAGGGCCTAACTGAAGGCGACGACAACGGTCTACATAGCAGTAGAACATCCAGTGAGAAATTTTGTAAATGAGCGTTGGATATTTTCTAGTGTTATCCGATCTGTCCAACGCAGGTGACTATGGCTGATTGTGCAGTACCCTAGTATAGGTCTTACAATGAGTTTAAACATTTATGGTCGTGCTCCAGGTGGAACAAAGGACTGAATGAAGTGGATTTTTAGTTGCCTCGCTTTTGCTGTCTGGTACGAGACATGCTCGGAAAGGTTGAAGGAGGTGGATTATATTACCCCAAGGTCTCTCACTGAAGAAGAGTTTGGAATGATTTTGCTGGAGCTTTCAGGCTTAAAGCATCCAGCCCAAAGCGCTTCCGATGTTTCAGCGGAAAATTTCATGTATCGTGTTTTACTCTACGAATTCAGCACAGAAAGATCCTCATATATTCCTAGTGTAGATGCGCGGAGGACTTCGACAACACGGAACAGCAGAAAACGACAAGAGCAAGAAAGAGTATCCGACAGAGGCACCGGAATCAGTCAGCATAACGCAGGCCCTACCGGACGAGTGGAAAAGGGACCGCGGGCGACGACGGGAAGAAAGTCTGCTCCCGGAAGATCTCAAACGATATTGGAGGAGAGGTCAAGAATTCAGACAAAGACGCCGATTGTTATGCCCCAAGGAATGACTCCAAGCCGAGTGACGCCTGGGAGATCAAGCAAGTCGAGAGCCTTCGAACAAATCCAGGCTGGTGGGAAAGCGACGTACAGGAGCGGAGATACGAAGCAAAATAGGCGAAGCTGAGTTGCCGAATTGTTGCCAATTGGCGGGCGAAGGTGCCCGTCGACCGCAACGCATTTCTGGTGCGTTGTGGTGTAGAAATGTGACTATATGTGTGTGGGCGTGAGCGCGTGTGGGACAGATCGTGACGTGCAATACAGATCGTGCTTTATTGCCCCGTTGTTCTTGCTACACTAGGGCCGAATTTGCGACGATTGGGTGTGAATGAGTAAACGAGTTTAACATCATCCGCAAACAGCTATGCTTGTCCTTGTTTTAGGGAGTCACATATGGTATTTATATAGAATACGGGAAAAAGTGGTCCATGCACACTTCCTTGGACAGTACCATTTGTGACTTCTTGTGAAGAGGACAGGTATCGGTCGATTTTAACTATTTGCACCCGGTCTTCCAAGTAGGATTTGTGTCAGCTTAGCAATGGGTTGCTCATTCCACAATAGTGGATGACGGACAGCAATGGCTTGTGTGGCACACGATCGAAGGTTGAATGCATGTCTAGTAGGATGATGATAGCTTCCGTGCCACTGTCAACGACTGGTGTTTCATGGTCAAGGAACTGTAGTAGACATGTTACGCTGGATGTCTTCGTAGGAAAGCGGTAGTGTTTGCTGCTTATCAGGTCTAGTCGTGTACTGAATTAAACAAGGTCATATTTAATTATTCGCTCCAGAGCCTTAGAACCATCTGCAGCGTGATTAATAGAGCGGTAATTTGGCATTGCAGTTCGTAGTCCACCTTTGTGTTTTGGTGCTATTATCGAGTTTCCATGTGTGGAGGGAGGTATCTACTACTTGGTGATAGTGTAAAGACGTCTAGCATCAATAAATTCACGTGTTTACCTCTAATCTTGATAACAGCTAAGGGGATACGATCTGGTCCCGACTGAAACGGTGGTCGTATACTCGTCTGAACATCACTCACGCCTACGGAAATGTCGAATGTGTTTCATTTGTCCTCCGTTTTAGGGGGGGGGTGGGATATGTTGTTATTAATATTGAAAGTGCATGCATAGTATGCTTAGTGCTTCACATATCAGACTAACATCATCGATTGTCGTGTCCTCTTCCAGAGTCCCGCTTCTAATTTAATGGCAGTGTACTACATTCTTCTTTTTAAAAAGCTTTACCAGATTTTCTGCCTCCTGTGCATTTTTA